TTGATGAAAATTGCGAAACTTGCTCAACAGATCAAATTAGAAAATGTGTTAAATGTTTGACAAATTATTATCCAGGAGATAACGGAGTATGCATAATGTGTGATTCAACATGTGGGGGTAATTGTGACACAACAAATGGTCTTTGCACAACGTGTTTGACCAATTATGTATTTACCGATCCAAAGTCGAAGAAGTGTGAAATGTGCAATGTGTTTGATGCGAAGTGTTTCAGTTGCTCACCAAACTACATGAGAAGTTGCATCAAATGTGCTGCTGGCTATTACCCACACCAGAACGGCACATGTGTATTGTGTGATGCAAGTTGTGCGACCAAGTGCAACACGTCAACGGGTGTGTGTGAGTCGTGTATCAACAATTATGTGTATTCTGAATCGTCATCAAAGATGTGTGTATCATGTGATGCATTTGATGCGCACTGCACAACATGCAGCACAGACTCAACACGAAAATGCATTGTGTGCAGCAGTGGGTATTATCCAAAGAACGATGGCGACTTCAGATGCAGACTGTGTGACACAACATGTGGCGGCAAGTGTGGTGGCACAACAGGGATGTGCACTGGATGTGACACAAACTACGTGCCAACAGTTCAACCATCACTGACATGCATCAAATGCAACACGTTTGACACCGATTGTGTGACGTGTGCACCCGACAAGAGAGAGTGTGCTGTCTGTACAAATGGGAAATATCCAGACGAAACAACCAAAACATGCAAAGACTGTGACTCGACATGCAACACACAATGCAACACAACAAATGGAATATGTACCGGTTGCCTGTCCAATTACGTCTTCACAGAACCAGAATCGCAGAGTTGTGTGAGTTGCATTTCATTTGATGGACACTGCAAAACATGTGCTTCCGATTACACACGAAGTTGCATCGAATGTAATGATGGGTACTATCCAGATCAATCGTCTCATATGTGTGTGCTATGTAACACAATAGAAGAAAGTTGTAGTAAATGTAGTACAACAACAAAGAAATGTACCAATTGTGAAGACCCGTTCTATATTTCCTCTACATTTGAATGTGTGTCTTGTGAAAAGGGGACATTCAAGAATACAGAAAAGGGATGTACACAATGTTCTAATTCCACTGAATATTGTCAAGAATGTACGACTGTATCAGTGGGTAAACCCAAATGTATAACATGTTATCCTCCATACAAAGTTTCTTCAAACGGAGATTGTGTTATTTGTGACAACAATCAATTTTATAGTCAAATGAAAGTGATGTGTGTGTCGAACACTCCCGAATGTCTTATTCAACTTAATGAAGATGTTTGCCTTAAATGCCACGATAACCATTTCTTATCAAATCAAATGTGTGTAGCATTGGGAAAATGCGACTCTCATGTTTCCATAACATCGTGTGATAGTAACAATCAAATATTAATGAATACAGGCGAAAAGACACAAATTGTAAATTGTAAATATCAGAAGAGTTCCCAAACAAGCAGTTTATGTCTCAATTGTCAAGATAACTATTTACAAACAAACATGGGTTGCGTTCAAAAAACAATTTCATCACACTTGATTCGTAATAATGTGACATATTCGTGTGGAGATGGTGAATATCTCAATGGTAACGAGTGTGAGAGTTGTAGTATTACAAACACCGAATGTATAAAAATGAATGATAATGTGTTGCAACTGAATTGTGCAGATAATTTCATTTACGATGTTGATAACTTGCAGTGTATAACAGATACGAATTGTGCCACAATAAACAACGAAATGTGTGTTATGTGTAATTTGTCGTCATATGATATTGTGAAAGGGAAGTGTTCTGAATGCACATATAACAATTGTGATATTTGTTCTCAAACAAAATGCATGAAATGTTCCCAGCACCATTTATTAGTCACTGATAATTGGTGTGTTGATTCTTCCGAATTGAATTGTGTTAAGAGTAGTGAATATGGTTGTGTCCAATGCAATGAAGGGTTCTACCAAAGTGATACCAAAAACATCGAAGGGAAGTACTCGTATTGTCTTCCAATTCCACGAGAAGACAACTGCAAATATCTCACAACATCGAATTCCAAATGTGTAGAGTGTTACAACTCTTATAAATTGAGAAATGGGGTTTGTGCCGAGTATTTTGATGATAATGTTGATATGATATCTTCCATATCACTTCGTAGTAATAAATCTTCAATCAAAGAGTCATTGGAAAGTATATGTATGACTCGAACAAATAAAGGGTGTCAACATTGTTCTATCGGGTATTATTTATCAAATGAGAAGTGTATACAATGCTCCAACAATTGTTATAGTTGTTACAATTCGACATATTGCATTTCATGTGAAAATGGGTACTTCTTAAATTCGCAAATGGAGTGTAAATCACTTGGGGATTTGAAAGACAAGTGTTCGATGCCATTACCGACAGGTGGTGGATGTGCCATTTGTAAAGATGGCTTTTATAAAGTTGAAAAAGATTGTATATCATGTGACGAATCCTGTGGAACATGTTTGAATTTATATCAATGCTCTTCATGTGCTGAAGGATATTACCAAATACAAGGAGAAACTCAGTTGTGTTTGTCCAACACGACTTTATCAAATTGTATTAAAAGTAACAGTTATGGGTGTGAGATGTGTATGGATCGCTATCATCTCAGTAATTACAGATGTTCCAAATGTTCTTCCAATTGTATATCATGTCAAACTGAAGATGTGTGCACTCTATGTGAAATTACAGACTTTGTATTAGTAAACAACAACTGCACACATTTTTCGGATATCGAGTGGTGTCTGAAAGCTTCAAATTCGAAGTGTAATAAATGCAAAGTCAATTATAAACCCTCAGAAATAGGCGACTCATGTCTCTATTCTCTCAATTTGGGTATTGCTGTTGGTATCCCCATATCCATTGTAATAGTGATAATAATAATTGTCACAACTATCATTGTTGTCACTGTAATATTAATTCAACGCAAAAAGGAAAGGATTAAAGAGAAGAATGTGTGCACCTTTAAGATGGATCGTTCTAATATTCAAATGTCAAAGTTGAACTCGATATTACTGTCTAACAAAAAACTCTTGAAGTTCGATTTGGACACTGATGATGCCATCCCAGTCGACAAAGAGTCTCGCGACTTGATTTGCATTGGAAATTCATCGCCTCATAGAATTAAATTACAGTTCAGTGTAATGGACAATTGTGATTATTATAGCATTCGTACACTCCCTTCATTAGTTAATTTGAAAAAAGGAGAAGCCTGTGAATTTGAGATAATTATTAAGCCACTGTGTTCC